AACTCCGTAATTTTATCTCCAATGGAAAAGAGTATACGCATTTACACAGGATTAACTAGCAAGCAAAGCAAGCATACAATCAGCAAAGAGACTCCAGTTCCGTCATTCTGCAATAAACAAAGCCAAGAAAGCGGCAAATCTTCCAATGTGCGTGCTCTCTCCTCTTGCTTTCGTAAAAAGTGACAGAATTTAGATGGTCAAAGAACCTTTACCTGTGCAAGAGGACATGCCATTCAGCTTGAGCGAGAATGTTGAAAAAGGCGACTTCGACCCCGATGCTGCTTTGAATATCAGTGCTAACAGCAACGGTAACCTTTTCTTACAAAGTATCATTACCGCTTTCATTACTTCTTTTGTAGATCCAGGTGCAGACTTTTTGTCTCTTATGGAGTCGACGAATGAGAAAAGATCTAAAGAACGATCCCATGGGTCTCCAGGTTCTCCTTATTGCAGACTTATCTGATGCATGAATATCCGATTTTTCCAGATGGTGATTTCTCATTTTCCATTTTCGGTGCTGCTGTTGAAGGTAGCACATCTAATGGTGGGTTTTTTTTTTTTGAACAAAAAAATAAGTTTGTGCGAACGAAACTAAAAGAGCTAAAAAGTGAGAATTTCAGGCTCGGAGGGGGACTTTGCCTTCGATTTCGGGAATCCATCGCAGGATGGAGGTGATGATGTTGATTTCCAGTTCAATTTTGGCGAGAGTTCTGAGGAACAGCGTGGATCCGGAAAAGATGAAGGATTCAACCTTTTTGGTTTTTGAGCTGTGAATGTATCTTGTGAGAGCTAACCTAATTTTTCTGTGAATGAAATAGTAAGCTAAGGTGTTCTGGATTATTACTTTCTCATTTTAATCATTTATTGGACTTTCTGTTGTCTTGTCTCTGGTGTTGCTTTCGAAGTCTTGTCTCTTGTGTTGCTTGTTGATGTTCTTACTTCTGCTGTTGAATTTTAAATGAAATGTTCTGTTCTTTCTTTATTGTCAGTGTTACTCCCGGAAACCTGAGAAACACCCTGTGCTCATTCAGATTAATTCAACGTAA